ATCAGAGAAATATAACTGGAGGAATACTGAGCAGTTATCTAGTCCATTCTTCTGTCCCAAGCATGACCAACTCTGCTTGGCAGTCTTTTTGTCTGTTCTGCTCAGTACCACCAAGAGGGATGAAGATTCCTCCTCTCTCCAGAATACTGGACTACTTAAATCATATGTTTCATTTCACCTTAGCTGTGCTTTCCTCTCTGAAATATTCTCGGTTGCTGTCCAAGAGAATTACCCGAGATGATGTTTCTCAGCATGTGTTTGTAATTTCTGTTCCATTACCAAATTGAATGTGTGCTAATTACCTTATCCTATTGTATTTTTGTGTGGCATTTATAATCTGCAAGCTGGATGGTTGTGAAGAGTATTTTTAGAGTGTATTTAACTTGTCAGTTTTGGGGAAAGTTACAACTCACAAAGCTTTCTCTCTTTTTTTTCCATAGTTTAGAATGTACTACTTCTCTAATCTACTCTGTCATGAGAAATAGTACCTTTGTATTTTCTTTGATTTGTTACAGAAGTTAAACTGTGTTAGAAGTTGTTTTCCGAAAATACGAATGACATGCTTTATGACCTTGCCTCTACAAGAATAGATTTTTTTGAGAGAAATTACCTTGAGGATCTGCATATGTTTTCCTTTTGTCTTAGTGGGTGTCAGGGATGCCTGCATTTTTCTTCTGGAGCAGTTCTAGATAACGACATCTTGAATTATTTTTTTTTTTTTAAGCATTGCATGTGACTCACTTTTCTCTTTGTAATTGTACTGCACACTTTTGGTACCTCAGCAAACCTTTCCATGATTTGTCTCTCATCTAGCTCGTACCAAGGGAGATGTCCTTTCCAGTGCTGTAGGATATTTAGCAAAGGAATTTTCAAGTGTTACTGGCAGGTGCTGAGATTCATGTCCTGGATGTGGTAGGCATAGGAAAAAGTGCTGTTTGTACATGGAAATATCCATTTACACATGCAACAGTATATATACATTTATACATGTACCACACCAACTATGTTAGGTGTGCACTTGACAATTTCCTCTTACTACTACATTTGCTTAGAATTGGTGCAAACCATTTGTCCTGAAAAGTCTGTTAGAAAAAGTGAATGAGGAGAAATTCAGTAGTTCCTCAGCTGACTATAACAACAGCTATTTCTGAGTGGTTCTCATCCTCTCACCCATAAAATCAGCATAAAATTGACCTAACGTTGCCAGATCAGACAGGGTATCTGGGATGTAATCCTCAGGGAAAAGAAAATTCAGTCTTTGTAAATCTGAAGATAGAGTGCATGAAGTTGCAGAATCAGATTATACTTTCTCTTTTTATTTCTAAATCGGTACCCTTTTGTTTCTTCCTTTGCAGCCCTTCTGAGAAGTTGCCCCAAAGATGTGTCAGATGTTGCCTGAGCCTAGCTCCAAAAGCATAATCTTTTAAAAAAAACCCAATCCCAGACTTGGATAATTAGCATAAAATCCTGAGGCTTTTTATAGGTGTTAGGGTTTGGTTTCAGAGAGTAAAGGCATATAAAGAATATAGTAACTTTTCTTTTGGAAGCACAAGTCACATCAGATTTTTGTACTTAATAAATGTATGGCAAGTACCTACTAAAATAAGCAGTTAAAAGCCAATAATAACAACTGCAAAACCCAGCTCAAAGCAGTTGGACAAGTCTTGAAGGTATGTAATTTTTGCTGAGTGTAGCACCAAATGTTTTTCTTGGATTGAGTTTGGAATATATATTTTTTTAATGTTGGCACTTTTTTGTTTTCATGGAGTATTAAAAGTATTGTTCTTCCTGTTTAGATCGCATGACTTATTCTCTTATGATATGAATATCTTTCATGATATGAAAGTAAATGTTATACCTATAGTTGAGTGAACTGGAATTTACTTTAGATTTGTTTTTACCATTTCAAGTGAGACTGGAGTAGTATGAGAGAGCCTTAGTATGAAGTGAAGAAAGCAAGATGAGCAGGACACTAAATTAAAATTTCAGGGTTTTTTTTGTTGAGCTATCAGGGCACCAAAATAACTTATTGGAGCTGTTGATCTTGTAGATAAAGGGTGGCCCTGTGAAATGCTGTTAGCTCTGTTGGCACCTCATTGATGTGTACATTTTATCCATGTTTTGACCCCAAACCCAAAGTTTTGCTTAATTCTGAGTTTGTACTTTTCTCATGACTGTGACCTTTTAAAAGGACACCTGGAGGTTTTGCTATTGCGATCTGCTTCCTATTTTGAAGCCTGGCAGTTACATGTGCACTGAGGAGAGTGAACAAAAGAAATTACATTTCTGTCCGATTTCAGAACCCCAGTGATTTTGTTACTGTGTTGCTAAAGCAGTCTCTGTACTGAGTGTTTCTCATGTAACTGTGCTTCACATCTGCCGAAACCATCTGCCTGGCTTCCTTGCAGGGAAGAGGCGGCTGGGGATGCTCCGGCAGCCCGGCCCCACTGCAGAGCGGTCCCCTCGCCTCCTCACAGCCCATAGCGCCCGGGTTTTGCAATAGAAACACCTCTAAATGGTCAGGCAAGGCTTGGGAAGTTGTGAACAAGAAATGGGTGATAAGAAACGGAACTAGAGGCAGCTGGTAACCAGCTTGTGTTGCATGAGCTGTAGCAAATAGTTGATGCTGGAGTGCTGCCGCACGAAGCAGTCCTGCTTTCTTCTCACCACAACTCCCTATTCCCCAGTTTTTCTTCCTTTTTTTTCTGGTGCAAACCAAATGGTTTTGGGGAACTTGATCTAGTCAACGCTGACCTGAAAGGTTTCAGACAGTTGGTTTGATCTCGGTCAGTTCCCTCGTCTGGCTCCGTGTAGCTGTGACAGTCTGCACCAGCAGGAGACACGCAGTGCTACAGCTTCACCAACAAGTACCTGGTAGTGGCAGTGCAGAGGGATTATTGCTCTTTCAAAGAGAGATTTATCCTTGAAATGTTTGTGGACATATGGCATTAGATTTACAAGTTCTGTCGAAGTATTTTTTGGATTCTGCAAGTTTTCAGTGTTTTTTAGCAAGTAATTTATGGATTACTTAACATCGAGTATTTGATATGCTACCATACTTGCTACTCTACTCCTTGGATTTATCAGGGATCACTGTTGATATGCAATTGCTTTCTTTTTCATGATACTAATTTGGAATAAAAACAAGAGCTCCTTTACAGGTTTGTCAAACTCCTCTTGTACCTGGTCATTATAGAGACTTGTTTGCAATTTAAATACACACAAAATAGATCAGGAAAGAAAGGTCTCTGTTGTAACTACCTGTATTTATTTGCTCTCACATTCTTACAAACATAGCATCTTATCTCTTGCTTTGTATCTGCCTTCAAAAGTTCTTGCTCCCCACGGGGGAAGATTTATTGTGCAAAATACACACATTTTATTAAATAATAGCTGCAAAGCCCTTCCTGGATTTTCTTAGGAGAAAAAACAAGCTCGTCCAACAAATCAAGAGTCAAATGCCTCAATTTTTATTGAAAAGCTCGCTTAGATTTGAATTGGGCACCAATTAGGTCTAAATTGCATTGAGTTGATTGACAAGTTGAATTTTGTAACACGTTTGAAATGTATGTTCTGCTATTGACTTAAGATGTAGCTCGGGGTGAAGGAGGAATGCTGACCTCAGTCTCCAGCTCCTGGTGGCTGGGCCAGCAGCAAATGTACCTGTGTGACAGCTCTGTGCTGAACAGCAGGATTTGGGATCAGCATCTGGCAATGACACCACCAGCAGTGGCATTTCCTTTCTCATTAAATCTCCAGTTTGCACCAGCAAACGTACGTGGGACCCGAAGAAGAGCAGAAACCTCTGTACTTTGCCAAAAGTGGAAAACCCTGTGATGTCAAACCCAGCAATGAGAAGGAGGTTTACAGTGCTGGTGCTAGAGGCTGAAGTGGAAATCTGAATAGCTTCCCAGACATTGGCTCCTTGGAAGCCAGGAATGCAGCAGCCCCTGAGGCAGACAAGAGGTGGCAGCTCCCATCAGGCAGTGTCTCCTGGCTCTTGCTGTTGTGTTCCTCCTTGGTTTTCCTGCCCTCGGGCACCCTGAGCTGCTGCTGGCCTCGTGTCAGTGGTGGCAGCATCTGCCTCACCATGGCTGGGGCACCAGCACAAACAGAGAGCTCTGCCTCTGGTCCAGCCTTTGCCACTGCCCTGCGTCTCCCTTGCAGGTTGACAATTTCACTTTTAGCAGGTGGACAAACACTGCTGCTGATGTGTTTGTTCAGGAGCCTGTGAGGTTTGGTGGGTGTTTGTGGCTGTGTAACAGCAGCACCTTAGAAAGGGTTTGAGTCAAAGGAGATTAACAGCTGGGGGGGAACAAGGATGAAGGTCATAAACTGTGTTTTTGTTGAAAGGTTATGGTTCCAATCATTGTGATAGAGCCTTTCAAAACAATATTTTAAGTGGAGACTAATATGTGGCCGAAATAACTGTGATTATTTTTATAATTAGCATTTTACAAGAGGGTAATGAAAACGTCAAGGTATTACTGAAATGCTGATTTTTGAATGGCTCTGGAACATGCTAGCTCTTCTAAACTCTTCCTTGAGAATGCTGCTTACATTGATACTATCATTAAAATCACAAAGGAAGTTTTTCTGTACTTTTATAAGCGCCTTTTTTTTCCCCTTATAATTTTCTGTTCTTTTTCCCTGGGATGAAAAGAGGTTTTCTATCTCTTATGTCTTATTTCTTAATTGAATTAAAAAGTGAAAATTAAATGTGCTTAAACAATGAGCTATTCGAGGAATAAAGAATTGACTATGAAAAGAGTTTGATACATTACAACCTGCTGCCATATGTAAAACAATAAACATACAGTTTCATAAATATGAAATAAGTCTTTTTAATAATCCAGTATCTTCCTTAGTTTTTAGATGTATTTTTTGCACTTGCCTCAAAGCTTGACGCTAAGCTGACCCTCTCTTTAATATTAATGTACTCTGACTGTAATACTCTGTTCCTTTGCCTCTGATTAATGCTGTCTGTCAATTATTTACAGATCCAGTGGTACTGTGGAAGTTCCCGGAGGACTTTGGAGACCAGGTTGGAAACATGAGATTGAACTTTTTTTTTAATGTTAGAATAATAATAAAAAAGCTTTTCTATTCAGCTGTGGAGAGGCAGATGCTAATGATAGCAGGGTAGAATCTTCACCCAACTGGTGGCTTGGTGATTAGATTGCCTCTGTGACAGGAATATGCAATAGCAGTTGTAGAGCACTGAATGTTGTGCTAATTCTCTGTATCACCTTAGTTTTGATATAGAGTATTTTATCAGGTGGTCCTGTTGGACATGTTGGGTTTTTATCTGCTTTAGGATTGAAAATGTGGGAAAAATTTAGCAATAAAACTTTGCCAAGCATTGATGTTATAAAAAACCACCAGAACAAAAAAGTTGAAGAACTAACCATGTATGTCCTCTTAATGTCAGAATGTGTGCATTCCATTCCTTTAATCCTTTTCAATGCATGATTTTAGATAGTTTTTAAATAATATTTCAGAGATACCCTAGTTATTTGCTTGGGGAAAAAAATCCTCAGACCCTTGTAAGAGACTGATCTAAAGTTACTGATTCTGAAAGCGTGAAAATCCTATGTTCTATCTATAATTAATCCTCAAAGGAAAGTTTATACATACAGGACTGATGGATTATTTCACTGTTTGTAGTGACAGCAAGCTATTAATTAGTGTGTTGGGTTTTTTGCCCCATGACTATTTTATGGAAGTTATTAATATTAAACTTTAATGAAATTCAGACAGAAAGTCTAAAATTCTCAGTGACCAGGGTTCCAACACTAAATTTTATTATTTCAGCAACTTCTGCAAGAGTTTCTTGCATAGAAATATTTTTATTTTCATAAAAGAAAAATACATAAAGCAGCTAAATAGAATTAATATCTCTGTCTCAATGGCTTCTTTGCCTCTTATTTTTATACTAATATTGAGGCAAACATTCTTCATTGGTAATGTCACCACAGTGGATGATCTGGAAGTGTTGTTGTATAGTAGATGTTGATAAATTGTTGATTTTTTTTAATCAATAGTACAAGATTCTATAAAGACAGCTATAAGGTGATTCATGATGAAAAGAATAAATCTACAAACATAGAAAGTAGGATGTCTGGTTAGGGAATAGCATCAGTCAGAAATGTGCAGCCTGTAAAACAGTGACAAATGAGCAAAGTGTGCTGTTATATGTTCTCAGCTAGGCATTCAGCAAGTTTTGATAATTATCCTGGCTGCAGAATGATCATCTTCATTGTCATTTAAATTCTTTTTTTTCTAGTTTGTTTTGTTCTTTTTCTCCAAGAAAGACTTGCTCTTAAAAAAAAAAAAAAAAAAGAAAAATTATGTATGAAGAAAAATGGGAGCTTATTCAGCAAGTTCAAGGTTATTCAAAGAACAGCTGGTGTAGAAAAATGATTAGAAGATGAATCCCACTAAAGACTGGAGGGGAATCATACAAAGATGCAATAGACATAGCTAATGTATGAACACCAGAGGCCTCAGGCAGCACTCTGCCTTTGGGCTCTGAAAACCCATGTCTGCACATTGTGCCTCAGCTGTGTAGGGAATCTGGTGTTTCAGGTAAATTGCTTGTGTTCCTGGAAAACAGGATATTTTAATCCTTCTCTTTGCAAGGGAAATTTTCCTTTTGGAACCACTGGATTTAAACAGAATATATAGCAGCTTCTAAAGCAAAGCCATGAAGCAAGTCATGAAGTGAAATCAGCAGAAATCAGCAGAAGCCTTCTCCACAGTGTGTGTGCATGTTGAACTGGGTACGTTTGGATTGGAGACCTGAGTATCCACCAAAATGAATTTCCTTAAAAACCAAAAACTCACTAAAACTATCAGGGCTAATTTCCATGAAAGTTAGTGTGGAGATTGTTTAAAAAAAAAAAAAAAAAGAAAGAAGAAGAATATTCTCTGTCCTGTTTTTCAGTCATTTCTATTTTAAATGTAAAATGTGTGAGTTAGTTTTTGGATGTATCCCAAAGAATCATCTTTCCTAAAATTGAAGGGCTGTCTGTTTGCACAGTGATGTGATAACAGTGGGCAAAATATTTTCCTCTCTTCCTGAATTTTTCTACAGTTTATCATGTCACCTTTTTGTTGCTTTCATAATGGAAAGAAAACTTGTCTAAGTCGTTTTGACATTTTCTTCCTCTTTCTCACATTTGTGTTCTAAGTATGTCTGAACTTCCCAGTGCTTACTCATCTCTAATCTTCTGTTTTTCTTCTGCCCTCCCATTTTCTCTGATGCTGGTCAATATTCTTTTGGTGTACTTTTTTCTTAAATATTGACTTTCCAAATTCATGTTTTGCAAAACATTCCATCTGTTGTGGATGGGATTTAGAAACTAGAGTTGATCAGGAGGAAGACAAGTAATTATGACAAATCCCTGGTCTTGTAGACTCACAGTCTGTCAGCTGAAGGAAATATTAAGGCAAGGTTTTGGTACCACGAAAGAATTTGCAAGATTCATTGTTGATTTCCATATCTGCTAAGACTGCAGGGAAACCACTTATATTTTCTCTGGTAATTTCTCAAATGCCAGAATAAGAAGGAAAAGAGAAAAACAGAATGGGGAAGGAAAAAAAGTAATGCTTCAAGGCAGGAAATGAAGAATACTTCTCTTTGCCAGGAGAGTTTCAGAAAGTGTACTTGCCCTTTTTTTTTTTTTTGTTTTTGTTTTACATTTTATTTTATTATTTGAAGTGGCAGTAATTCCATTTTTAGTAACTCTCAAAACTGTCAGTGAAAAAATGAGCTCATGCTGGTTAGAATTCAAAGTACAAAGAGCCACACTATCATTTCAAAGAAAGTATCTATTACAAACTGCCTCAAAAGCCAGAAGAACTAATCTGTTTGAGACATCATAGAGTTACAAATTACTGTTGTACTGGCATTTGTGCTATAAAAGTGAGTTTGACAATGTTGAAAAAGTTGTGAATAATCTCAGCACTGTAGAAAAAAAATGAAAATTTCTGATTTGAGCATGTATAGGTCTTCTTTGATTATCTTCCCATGCTCAAATTTGGATGAAGAATGAGTTGTAGCCATTTAATGGGCTAATTTTTTGTTGTTGTTTAAAAATGTATTTTGAATGTATATTCCTAGAGGAATATAATTTGTAATGTGTTCAAATATCCCCTTTATGCAAAAATTCCCATGATAAAAGATATGTATGTTTTTAATCTTGAAATTACTATTTTGTTTATTCAGATTGGTTAAGCTAGAGTTTCATTTCAGTCTTATGAGCCCATTTTTCAATGGAAGTCTGAAGAAAAAATGCTGTGATATATGGAAAAAAAATTCTATTTGTTTTTAAGAAGAAAGTATTTTTCAAGGGCTTTAGAACAGCAGCTCAAATGAAAACAACACCTTGGCTTCAAAACTGAAGTACCTGATGACCTGCTGAAGAAGAAAATGCACATTTCTGCAGAAGTCAGTGTCTCCCAGCAGAGCTGCCTTGTCTCCTCGTGGCACTGCAGTCAGTAGCAAAGCCCTGCTGATGTCACACGTGTCCAGATGTCTCCACTAGGGCTCGGCTCGTGGCTGTTGAGTCAATAAGAACACTGACACTCCCACCAGCTTCACTGGGTTGGAACATTGCTGGGAAAAGAGTGGAGTTAGCACAAGCAAGGAGGAGAGCAAGGGGCTGATAGTGCCAGCAGCAGGTAGTGCCTGTGCAAGAGGCAGTGCTGCTTTCTGTGTTGTCTTATCCTTTGAGGCTTTTTTATTCTTATTAGCATTTCTTATTAATTTAAACATCTCAGCATTTCTTATTAATTCAGTAATTACAGGCAAGTTGGGTATTATTTTTAGCTGTGTAAGAATTCAGTAGTTTTTTTATTCTGACCACCTATTGACCTAAAGTGATTTCTACCTGTAGTACGTGGTGTCCATTATATAGTTCTCATTCTTTGCCCTTCTAATCACATAATATTTTCTAGCTTCAGCCTGCAACTTCTCTGCTGGTGAAAAATCTCTCAGCAGGAAGATGACACAAATAGCTAATATCAGGAGATGGTCTTAGCAGAAGCCACTTTAGTAATAAATATGACAAGGGCTTATTAACTAACTGAAGATGTGGGTTAAGAAGGAATTCAGACTCTGCACTGGACTGTTGGGTGTGTTGCAGATTTCATCCTATTTCCTCTTGCTTTCTAAGACAAGCAGTCGTAATCTGCTTTCCCATGTCAGGCTGTTCCCAAACCCTGCAGATGAGTAATGAGTAAGGGATATGATATCCCATGTGAGGAATCTCTGCAGTTTTCTCTGAAGTTAGGGTACTGCTCTTTGTTATTATCTCATATTTTACATAACATCTGGGGTTTAGTTTTACTGTATCACATTGTGCAGAAGTCACCACTGAATTGTAAACTTTGTATCCTGTAGTGACCCAAACTACAGTCTGACACTATACATGTAAATCTACCCGGTTCATGTGAAAATATCTTTATATATAAGATATATAGGTGCATATGCAGTTGTTTTAAGACTAAATCTTCAGAAATACCAATGTGTTGGTCTTCCTGCAGCAAAGCACTGATCACACACTTAACTTTCAATGTATGTTTTAACTACTGAAAGTTAAGCCAGGCTTAAATAAGCATGTGATTGGAGACAAAAGGCTCAGTTTCTTTCAGGATGGAATATTTAATTGCATGGATCGTGGCAGCAAATACATAAATGAGGTCACCATGAAAAAGATTATATTCTTTTAAAAAAGATGTAAATAATAGCACAAATTGGGTATTTTGGGGTTTGTTTTTTATATTCTCAAGAAGCAAGATAAAATCTGTTCTCTGGGTCAAGCTAACGTGTGGAAGCTAGCAGTGAGATTTTTGTGTTCCTCTGTGCCCTCTCAGGAGAGCAGCAGGAGCCCAGGAGGTCCGAGGCTGTTTACACTCCCTCCAAGGCTGCAGGCGTGCTGTTAGGGGATGCATCTCACCAGCTTTCTGCAAGACATGGCTTTGTTCTTGTATTCTGATGAGGCACTGAGTGCATGCTTCACATGTTTATGCTAACTAGAT